CTCCCCGCAGCCAGGTCTCCGACCCAGCCCCCAGAGGTTCTCACCGTGCCACCCCCCTGAGCCCTCTCGGTGGCCTCGATGGGGTGGTCCAGGCTGGGCCGCCCCAGGTAGACGTCCTGGCTGGGGGAGAAAGAGGCCAGCAAGTGCAGCAGACCCTCTGGGTTCACGTAGTTGTCATCGTCCACGTGACAGAACCACCTGTGGGCACAGGGTGCTGGGGGCGGGGCTCCAGGGGGCTGGGGTGATGGACGGGGCTCCAGGGGCTGGGGTGATGGACGGAGCTCCAGGGGGCTGGGGTGATGGACGGGGCTCCAGGGGGCTGGGGTGATGGACGGGGCTCCAGGGGGCTGGGGTGATGGACGGGGCTCCAGGGGGCTGGGGTGATGGACGGGGCTCCAGGGGCTGGGGTGATGGGTAGGGCTCCAGGGACTGGGGTGATGTGTGGAGCTCCAGGGGGCTGGGGTGATGGACGGGGCTCCAGGGGGCTGGGGTGATGGGTAGGGCTCCAGGGGGCTGGGGTGATGGATGGGGCTCCAGGGGGCTGGGGTGATGGACGGGGCTCCAGGGGGCTGGGGTGATGGGCTGGAGGGCAGGGTTCCAGGGGACGGAGCTCCAGGGGTTCGGCAGAGCTGGGCTAGGGGTGGCCCTTGGCAAGAGGCTCTGGGGAGGACAGGCGGTCGCGACCCCCACATACTTGCGCCCCGACTCCAGGAACTTGTCATACTCCACCGACATCTTGCAGCACAGCGCCTGGCGGGTGCGCACGGCCGAGCAGTTGGTGTTGATGACACGGTCACCTGTCATGCATGGGAGTGGGGTGTGAGTCCTGGAAGTGGTCCACGCACCCCCAGCCTGCCCTGGCACCCTGCTCACCTGCCTGCCTCTGGAGCTCGGGGTCGTCGCCATCGGTGAAGATGAAGGTCTGGGGGGCCGGGAGGGGAAGGGGTGGACATGCACAGAATGAGTGCCCTCGGGGAGACACCCGGCGCTTCTACCTGGGGCCCGTCCACCTGCAGCCTGTCCATCGTGTCCACCCTTGTCCTGTCCACTCATCTCCACCCGTGTCCCATCCACCCGCGTCCAGTCCACCCATGTACCATCCACCCGTGTCCACCATTGTCCTGTCCACCAATGTCCACCATGTCCACTCGTGTCCCATCCACCCTTGTCCACCCACGTCTACCCTTGTCCACCTATGTCCACCCGCGTCTAACTTGTCCCATCTATCCGCGTCCACCCTTGTCCCCCCCTTGTTCCGTCCCACCCGTGCCCACCCTTGTCCCGTTCATCCTTATCCACCCGTGTCCAGTCCACCCTTGTCCACCCCTGTCCAGTCCAGCCTTATCCACCCGTGTCCACCCTTGTCCACCCGTCTCCACCTGCGGCCGCGCCCGGGAGATCCAGGTCTGCAGCAGCAGCCGCAGGCGGCCTGCGTGGTTGCGCCGGGTGGTCTTGACGGCGATGAAGACGTCCTCGGGGCGCAGGCGGGGCGCGGGGCGGCGGGCGGCCGGCGGGGCGCGCGGCCGGGGCAGCAGCAGCAGGGCGGCCAGCGCGGCCAGCGCCACGCAGCCCCGGCACAGCGCGCGGCCCATGCGGAGGCCGCGGCCCCTTTAACGGCGGCCGCGCCTGCGCGCTGTGCGCCTGCGCGCTGCGCCCCGTGCGCCGGAAGTGGCGGGCCGCGCCGGAAGCGGGGCGCGCGGTGGGCCGGGAGGATGCCGCTGCCGGTGCAGGTGTTCAGCTTGCAGGTACTGGGCACCCGGGGTGGACGCCGTCCTCGTGGGCCGCACACCCGGGGTGGACGCCGTCCTCGTGGGCCGCACACCCGGGGTGGACGCCGTCCTCGTGGGCCGGGCTGGTCCCCGGGTGTTGCGGGCCGAGGGTGAGGGGAGAGGTTCCTGGCGAGGTTGCCGGGTGTCGGGGTGAGGGAGCTGGTGTCGGGGTGCAGCTTCCCGCTGCTCCCGCCAAGGCCCGGCCTGTGTTGCAGGGCGCCGTGGAGCCCATGCAGATTGACGTGGACCCCCAGGAGGACCCCCAGAATGCCCCCGACGTCAACTACGTGGTGGAGAACCCCACCCTGGTAGGCCGCCGGCCCCAGGGCCTTGGGGGCTCCTTTGCTGGTTTTCCAGGGGGTTCCTGCTCAGAGCCTGCACCCAGGGGCCACCCCAAGCTGTCCTGGCCCCGCTGACCCCCACTCCCGCTGTGCTAGGTCTGCTGACCCCCACTCCTTGGTGACCCCCCACTCCCTGCTGTCCCCAGCCCGCTGACCCCTACCCTGCTGTGCCCGGCCTGCTGACCCCCCACTCCTGCTGAACCCCAGCCCGCTGACGCCCCACTGTCCGCTGTCCCCGGCCCACTGACCCCCACTCCCGCTGTGCCAGGTCTGCTGACCCCCACTCCTGCTGAACCCCAGCTCGATGACCCCCACTCCTTGGTGGTCCCCCACTCCCACTGTGCCCTGCCCGCTGACGCCCACTGCCCGTTGTCCCGCAGGACCTGGAGCAGTACGCGGCCAGCTACAGCGGCCTGATGCGCATCGAGCGGCTGCAGTTCATCGCCGACCACTGCCCCGCCCTGCGCGTCGAGGCCCTGAAGATGGCCCTGGCCTTCGTGCAGCGCACCTTCAACGTGGACATGTACGAGGAGATCCACCGGAAGCTCTCAGAGGCCACCAGGTGGGGGGCCGTGGGGGCCTGGGGCCGGGCCAGGGGGGTGTGGGGCCGCAGGGCCCTCTCTGGTCCGGCTGCCCGCCGGTGCTGACCCCTGGCCCCGCAGGGAGCTGCAGAGCGCGCCCGACGCGGTGCCCGAGTGCGGCGTGGAGCCGCCACCCCTGGACACGGCCTGGGTGGAGGCCACGCGCAAGAAGGCGCTGCTGAAGCTGGAGAAGCTAGACACCGACCTCAAGAACTACAAGGGCAACTCCATCAAGGAGAGCATCCGCCGGGGCCACGACGACCTGGGCGACCACTACCTGGACTGCGGCGACCTGAGCAACGCGCTCAAGTGCTACTCGCGGGCACGCGACTACTGCACCAGCGCCAAGCACGTCATCAACATGTGCCTGAACGTCATCAAGGTGGGCTGGCGGGCAGGTGGGGTGGGCGCCAGGCGGGAGGGGCACCCACTCAGCACCCGCACCCCTGCAGGTCAGTGTCTACCTGCAGAACTGGTCGCACGTGCTGAGCTACGTCAGCAAGGCCGAGTCGACCCCGGAGATCGCCGAGGTAGGCCTGCTCCTGGGGGCGGGAGGGGCAGCAGGAGGCGCTGCGGGCCCCCAGCCTCACCCCTGTGGCCTCCCCTTGCAGCAGCGCGGGGAGCGGGACAGCCAGACACAGGCCATCCTCACCAAGCTCAAGTGCGCCGCAGGTGAGGCCCGGCCCTGCCCTGGGTCCCCGGTCGGGGCTGGGTCCCCCCCTCGCCTCCGCACTCCCCCGCCAGCCCGGCGTGGCCAGCTGCCCTCCCGCCCCACCCGCAGGCCTGGCTGAACTCGCCGCACGCAAGTACAAGCAGGCGGCCAAGTGCTTCCTGCTGGCCTCCTTCGACCACTGCGACTTCCCGGAGGTGAGGGCCGCGGCTCTGGGGTCGGTCCCTGGGTTGTCCTGCCTGCCCCGAGCCCGCCCCTCCCGCCCTGTGGTCCTGCCTGCCCCCAGCCCGCCCCTCTCCACCCCTAGCTGCTGTCCCCCAGCAACGTGGCCGTCTATGGCGGCCTGTGCGCCTTGGCCACCTTCGACCGGCAGGAGCTGCAGCGAAATGTCATCTCCAGCAGGTGAGGGGCGGCCCTGGGCCTGGCGGGGTGGGCAGGGGGCAGGGCCGGGCCCCTGCTGAGCTGGCCTCTGCAGCTCCTTCAAGCTGTTCCTGGAGCTGGAGCCGCAGGTCCGAGACATCACCTTCAAGTTCTACGAGTCCAAGTACGCCTCGTGCCTCAAGATGCTCGATGAGATGAAGGTGGGCCAGGCCTGCGGGTGGGCCGGGCGTCACCGGGCCCCCCACCCCAGGGCCTCACCGCCCCGCTCCCCCTGCAGGACAACCTGCTCTTGGACGTATACCTGGCCCCACACGTCAGGACCCTGTACACACAGATCCGCAACCGCGCCCTCATCCAGGTGAACTGGGCTGCAGCCGGCCGGACGGGGTGGGCCGGGCACTGGCTGCCCGCTGACCTCGCGTGGCCTGCAGTATTTCAGCCCCTACGTGTCAGCCGACATGCACAAGATGGCCACAGCCTTCAACACCACAGTGGCTGCCCTGGAGGATGAGCTGACGCAGCTGATCCTGGAGGGGCTCATCAGTGCCCGCATCGACTCACACAGCAAGGTGGCACAGGGGCAGCCTGGGGTGGGGCGGGGCGGCAGAGCTGGGCCTCGCTGAGCCGGGACCTGCCGTGCCCGCACAGATCCTGTACGCTCGGGACGTGGACCAGCGCAGCACCACCTTTGAGAAGTCCCTGCTGATGGGCAAGGAGTTCCAGCGCCGTGCCAAAGCCATGATCCTGCGGGCAGCCGTGCTGCGCAACCAGATCCACGTGAAGGTGGCGGCAGATGGCTGAGGGGGTGGCCGGGGGGCTGCCCGGTGGCTGGGCCTCCTCCCCCCGCTGAATGGCTCTGCTTCTTGCTGCAGTCCCCGCCCCGAGAAGGAAGCCAGGGGGAGCTGACTCCGGCCAACAGCCAGTCCCGGATGAGCACCAACATGTGAAGGTGCCCTGCTTTCTCTTACTGCCCGTTTCGGCAAGGGAGGCCCAGGGAAGTGCCAGCCGCCGGCAGCCCAGGCCTGCCCCTGCCCACCCCACAGGCAAGCCCAGCTAGCCCCAGCTCCTGCCCACCCCTGTTCTCCGGACTGTTGAAATCACCATTAAAGAGCTGACTTGACCTTGTCCACCTGGGACTGCTACCCCCTGGCTCACGCTGGACCCTTTTGTAGGGAGCCCCGGGGGCCGTGAATGCGGCAAGGAAGGGCCTCGGCCAGAGTGGCCTCTGGGCTCAGGGCACACGGTCTGCTCCCCACACAGGTCTTTAAACTCATTTATTGTTTGCTTGAAAACATGGGGACAGGGCAGGTCCAGCCTGGGCTCCGTCCGTGGTGCAGCACCGGCAGGCCCCGCCAGCCTGTCCCGGGTCTCAGGGCAGGAGGTGCGGCCAGGTGTCGGCAGCGGGGCAGGGCCGGGCCCATAGGGCCCTCAGGCCAGGGCACTGCCCACGACTTGAGAGAGGCCCCCGGGGGCCCCGGGCCCTGCCTGCGGAGGATCCTGCAGTCCAGGCTGGGCCCCTTTCCAGACCAGAGACTTCTCCAGTTTGGTCTTAAAAAGCAAACCGTGACCTGGCAGAGGGAGCAAGGGAGCAAGGGGTTAGGAACGGTCGGTGGGGCCCATGCCCCTGGCGGGTGGAGGGCCTGGCCTGGTGCCCCACCTGGGCAGTCCGCGGTCTCTCTGAAGGCTCGCTTCTTGCAGCAGCTGCGGCACAGGTTGAACACACACCTGCTGCCCTGGGCACAGGACAGCCAGTGAGCCGGGCTCCCCTGAGGCACCCAGGCCGGGACTCCTCGCTCCCAGGGCAGTGGTGAGACCGCAGGGCATCCATGCCCCTCTGCAGTTGACTCACCTTTGGATTCCCACACTGGTCACACTTGGCATACTTTGCTGAGGAGAGAACACGCAGGGCTGGTTGGCACTGCCTCCCTGTCACCAGCCAGTCTGCCTGCCGCCCCCGCCACCCTGACCAAGCTGGCACTGGGAAGATTTCCCATGGTTCCTCTCATCGGCCCTGCCTGGTGTCTGTGCCCAAAGCTTAGTGTCTGTCCTGGCACTTGGGGTTCAGCTCCCACAGCCCCCGGCAGAGGGGGACGAGGCGACGGAGGCCCTGCCGCCAGTGCTCACGCTTGAGGGAGGGGTCGAAGCTCTTGTGGGGGTTCTTCAGCCGCTTCTTCTGCTTGTTCTTGGACAGACTGTCCAAGCCGCCCTCCTCCTCCTCCAGGGCCCGCTTGCTACGGGTGCCGGGACCCGTGCTCTCGTCCCGGGGCCTGAGGGCACAGGTTGGTCGGCCAGGCCCCAGGAGACCCCATCACCCTTCCCAGAATCCAGAAGTAGGGGTGGGGGAAGACCTTGGCACAGTCCTTCAAGGATGGCAGAGCCAGGCCCTCCCAGGAGGCAGCCCCCCAGCCCTCTAGACCCCACTGAGGGCTCACCCCGGCCGCACGTAGGGCTGGCAGATCCAGTGGGAGAAAGGCAGGTCCCCTGCCGGCTGGGTGCCCGCCTCCTGCCGCGCCATGTCCTCCTGCGGAAGGCTGCGCTCAGCCACGGGCCCAGCATGGCTGTCCCCCGCCCAGCAGCCGCCTGCGCGCCGGGTACCTGCCTGGCACCGCAGCTTCAGCTCCTGGCTCACAGCAGCAATGCCCTCCAGTGTCTTCACTTTGGCCAGCTCCTCACGCAGCTCCTGGTGGACCTGCAGCCTGCGGAGCCCAAGGTGGCCCTGTCACCAGGGGTGGGGCCCAGGGTGCAGCCAAGCTGCCCTGATTCCCCCGGGTGACTTACGTGTGGTGCCACAGCTTGAAGAGGTGGGCTCGGACGTAGGACAGCGGGCAAGGGTGCTGCCGCACGAGGTCCAGGTACTCTTCCACCAGCTCCCACACGGCAGGGTTCCGGCCCTCAAACAGGGCAGGGTTGTGCAAGTTGCCCTCTGTGGGGACGGGACGGGGACGGGCGTGGGGCTGTGGGCGGCAGGCAGCTGGGGCAGCGGGGCTGGGGCGGGGTGAGGCGCCCACCTGCGCTCATGACGCCCTGCACGCCCGTGTCCCGGAGGCAGCGCTCCACGTCCTGCAGGTACTGGATGTTGCCATTGGCAAACACGGGGATGGTCACGGCCTCCCTGCCATGAGGATACGCGGCTGTCACCCCCACTAGGGCAGGGCCCACATCCCCAGGACACTGGCCACTCACCTCACAGCCCGGATGTGCTCCCAGGACGCCGCCCCCGACAGGGGACCCTTCTGCTCCTTGGTACGCCCATGCACGGTCAGCAGCTAGACAGACAGCCCAGCTCAGCCCCCACCGGCCCCTGGCAGCCCGGGCTCAGCTCCTGCCAGCCCCCACCGGCCCCTGGCAGCCCGGGCTCAGCTCCTGCCAGCCCCCACCGGCCCCTGGCAGCCCGGGCTCAGCTCCTGCCAGCCCCGACCAGCCCCTGAGGGCCTTCCTCTTAGCTCCTTAGCAGCAGCCCACACTGGACGCCAATGCGAGTCCTGGGTGCTGCACTTCCCGTCCAGCTCCCTGCTCATGTGCCTGGCCCTGCACCGTGTGGGAGACTGGACGGGGCTCCTGCAGTGGACCTGGCCCAGCGCGTCAGTCCTGGCCATCGAGGCCATGAACCAATGCGTGGGGAATGGCACTCCGCCTTTCAGGCACAGAAGCCCGATGGGCAGCCTTCTGGGCACTGCCTTGCCCCTAGCACAGAGCCAGGTGCCCTGGCAGAGGGGGCGTGCGGAGGGCTGCAGCTGCACCCTGCGTGGGCCTGTGGGGAGCCTCACCTGGCAGCCAGCCTTCTCCAGCATCTGGGCGTAGCGCACGGTCTTGTCGACCTCAGGGAAGACCCGGATCTTACAGGTCACGGGCACAGAGAGCTTCTCGTGGGCTAGTACAACTGCAGAGGGTGGGGGGGCAGGGACGCCTCTGTGGGAGCCCCCCGGTGACAGCTGTCACCCCCCACGGACGGCTGTCCCCCTGAACCCCCTCTCACAGTGCCCTGGCCAAACCCCAGCAAGGGCAAGGGTGTAGTACAGACCCCCCCCCATCCAAGGGGGCAGCTAGCCATGACAGATGCCCCCCGACAGAAGGGAGTCCGGGCCACGGGGCGCCATGCTGCCACTCACTCATCCTCTGCAGCAGGTCCCACTCCTCCTGCAGGAAGGCGCCGTAGTGACCTGTGAAGCAGCGCACCCTGTCAGCCACTGCCTCTTGGCGGCCAGGCTGGCCCTGCCCACAGCCGCTGTGCCCTGCACCATCCCTGCCCACAGCACCTGGGACGAGGGGCCTGTGCTCAGGCCAGGTGTGGGACCACAGGAGGTCAGGCAGTCCCGCAGCCAGCCGGGAGGGATTCTGTCCGCCATGGCAATTGCCCATGGGCTCCGGCGAGGTGCATGGCTGGCCCCATGGCCGCACGCGGGCAGTCAGGACCCCCCAGGACAGCCACAGTAGAGCCGGAGTGGGCTGAGAGGCACGGCCAGCCCGCACGCACCCACCCCACACCCAAGCCCCAGGGGACCCCAGCACGCTGGCCTCACGCACCTCGCTTGGCTATCATCTGTGGACAGCCCAGGTTCAGGTCGATGGCATCGCAATAGTCCTGGGCCAGCAGGGCCGCCTGGACGAAGACCTCAGGGTCGTTGGCACAGAACTGCAGAGGGGGCAGAGCGAGCCCGGCCATGGCCAGCCGCCCCACGGGGGCAGAGCGAGCCCGGCCATGGCCAGCCTTCCCACGGGGACAGAGCGAGCCCGGCCATGGCCAGCCGCTCCACGGGGGCAGAGCCAGCCCGGCCATGGCCAGCCGCCCCACGGGGGCAGAGCGAGCCTGGCCATGCCCAGCTGCCCCACGGGGGCAGAGCGAGCCCGGCCATGGCCAGCCGCCCCACGGGGGCAGAGCGAGCCCGGCCATGCCCAGCTGCCCCACGGGGACAGAGCGAGCCCGGCCATGCCCAGCCGCACCACGGGGGCAGAGCGAGCCCGGCCATGCCCACCCACGGGGAGGCCACGCGCCCCTGCCCACCTGCACGATGAGCGGCCGATCCTCTGGGCACACCTCGCAGTACAGGTTTTCCCTGCGGTAGTTGGCGTCGCGCACGAAGACCTGCGCGTGCAGCATCGGGGTGTAGCACAGGTGCACCCCGTGGCGGCGGCTCAGCAGCCTCCAGGCCAGCTCGCTCTGGTCCACCATGGGGGCCAGCACGTGCCGCGCGCCCCGCAGCGTGCGGCGCCAGAACTCAAAGCCCTGCAGCTTGGGCATGGCGCCCGGCGGCGCGGCGCCGCTCCAGGCTCGCCCGACTCCGCGCGGCCGCCGCTCCCCGCCCGCTCCCCGCCCGGGCCGCCGGAAAGCGCGCCTCGCAGGCCGTCCGGGTGGCCCGCGCGGTGCAGCGGGAAACGCGTCCCCCGGAAGCGGCGCGCGCCGGCCGGAACCGGGCCTGGGCCCCGCGAGCGTGCAGCCCCGGGACGGCGGCCTTGCCGCGGCGCGCACGGCGCTCCCTTCCCTCCCCGCGCGTCCTCGGCCCGGGCCCCGCCGGGTCGCCGGTGACCGCGCCCGGAGCCCGGAAACAGCGCCTCCCCGTGGCGACGCGCGCCCGGCCGACTTCCGGCCTCCTGCCCTGAGCTGGGGCCGAGTGCGCGTGCGGCGCTCCCGACCCCCGGCCCCTGACCCCCAGTTCCCCGGGGACCCCCGGCCCCCGGACCCCCAGATCCCCCGCCTACCGGGGACCCCAAGGCCCTCGGACCCCAGGGTGCTGGAAAGCTGGGCTTGGGACAGACAGCAGCCAGGGGCGGAGGGACTCTGTCCCGTTTCATTCTGATCACTGGACGGTAGAGCCCGCTGTGCCGTCTGCAGCCTGAGACCTGGAAGCCTGTGTGTGCTGGCAGATGTCCTGGTCCTGCCGGAGCCTGGCACCCCAGCCGGCGGGGGTCCGGCACCCCGGGCACAGGTAGGAGGGCACCGCAGGCAAGGCTGCACCCCTGGGAGGGCAGGGACGGCCCATGTGCCGAGGACCCGAGGTTCAGGCCTGAGCCGAGGCAGCTCTGGCCATGTGGCGCAGAGAGCCAGCTCCAGCCTTCTGGGTTTCCCTCCCTGCTGTCGGGGGTTCTGCTGGACCCCCGCCCACCGGCTGCCACTGCCCAAGCAGCTGCTCAGCCCCTCTCCCTGAGGGGGAGGGTGTTTAAAAATTTTGTAAGGATTTATTTTTATTGCAAAGTCAGAAATACAGAGAGGAGCAGAGACAGAAATATCTTCCATCCGATGGTTCACTTCCCAAATGACAGCAACAGCTGGTGCTGCGCCAATCCGAAGCCAGGAGCCAGGAGCTTCCTTCCAGGTCTCCCACGCGAGTGCAGGGTCCCAAAGCCTTGGGCCATCCTCGACTGCTTTCCCAGGCCACAAGCAGGGAGCTGGATGGGAAGTGGGGCCGTTGGGATTGGAACCGATGTCCATATGGGATCCCGGCACGTTCAAGGCAAGGACTTTAGCCGCTAGGCACTGGGCCCATGTGTTTAAATTTTATTTGTATTGAAAAGGCAGATTTACAGAGGAGACAGAAAAATGTTTTGTCCACTTGGTCACTTCCCAGGAACCTGCAATGGCCAGAGCTGAGCCAATTCAAAGCCAGAACTAGGACATGGGCTGGGGTCCCTGGGGTCCTCAGGGTCTTGGTGCTGAAAGGTAGGAGAGCTACCAGCTGAACTGCCACACCTGAGGTTTTTTGTTTTTGTTTTTAAGATTTATTTATTTTTATTGGAAAGTCAGATACACAGGAGAGACAGTGAGAAAGATCTTCCATCCCGTGATTCACTCCCCAAGTGTCCGCAACGGCCGATGCTATGCCGATCCAAAGCCAGGAGCCAGGAACTTCCTCCGGGTCTCCCACATGGGTGCAGGGTCCAAGGCTCTGGGCTGTCCTCCACTGTTTTCCTAGGCCACAAGCAGGGAGCTGGATGGGAAGTGGAGCTACCAGGATTAGAACTGGCGCCCATATGGGATCCTGGCGCATTCAAGGCGAGGACTTTAGCCACCGGGTCCATACACCTGAGGTTTTTAAAAAATTGTTCTTGTTTAATGTTTCCTTGAGAGCCAGAGAGGGAGGGAGCTGGGTGGCAGCTCAGGACCTGTGGGCGGGTCAGCCCGCAGCTGGAGCTCCCTGTGTGCGTGCGGGACACAGCATCGGAGCTGGAGCCAGGCTTGATCCCACGCACCCCGACCTGGTGTGCGGGGTCCCAGCTGACACGGCTGTCCGATCTTGCCGCCCTCAGCCTGCACTGCACAGCCGGCCCCATAGATGTGTGTGTCGCTAAGGTTTAAGGAAACAGGCACCTTGGGGAAGATCTCTTGATCTAAAACACACTGTTTCCACCCAAAGAGGGTATGAAATAAAAATTAAATAGGAGAGCCTGGCATGATAGCCTAGTGGCGAAATCCTCACCATGCACGTGCCTGGCTCCCGTATTGGTACCATGTCTTGACCGCTCCACTTCCCATCCAGCTCCCTTCCTGTGGCCTGGGAAAGCAGTCAAGGAGAGCCCAGAGCCTTGGGACCCTGCACCCGCGTGGGAGACCTGGAAGAAGCTCCTGGCTTTGGATTGGCTCAGCTCTGGCTGTTTTGGTCACTTGGGGAGTGAAATCAGTGGACGGAAGGTCTTTTTGTCTCTCTTCCTCTCTGTATATCTGCCTTTCCAAGAGAAACAATAGATCTTTTAATAATGAAATAAAATAGGGGCTGATGTTGTAGTATAGCAAGCTAAACCTCTAACTGTTGTGCCAGCATCCAGGTGACCCCTGGTTCAAGTCCAAGCTGCTCCACTTCCTGTCCAGCTCCCCACTTCCGTGCCTGGGCAAGCAGTGGACAGCCCAGGGCTGTGGCACCTGCGTGGGCGACCTGGAAGTGGCTGCTGGCCCCGGCCCAGCCTAGCAGATGACCTCACTCACTGAGACCGTTTCAAATAAAAAGCACGTGAATCTAAGCAGGGTCAGGCGGACAGGCCAGGGCAGCTCAGGGCAGAACAGAGTGTGCCGGCGACTACGTGCCAGGCCTTGCTGCTACAGACCCTCTGCACTGTGGGACAGTGCCAGGCGCTTCCTGGTGTCACTCCTGGGGGCTTCAGAGCTGGCAGCAGGGGACTTGTGTGGCACGCCTGCCTTCTGCATGGGCCCCTCCTCATGGCGGGGTCCCGCGTCTCCCCCTGCTGAGGGTGGGGTCCCCATGACTGCCCAGCTAAGGGCGGATGGTCCCCTGTGTCTCTTGCAGGCTCTTTTTTTTTTTCAAAGATGTATTTATTTTTATTGGAAAGGCGGATACACAGAGGACGAGAGGCAGAAATATCTGCTGCCCGATGGTTCACTCCCCAAGTGGCCGCAATGGCTGGAGCTGAGCCGATCCAAAGCCAGGAGCCTCTTCCAGGTCTCCCACGCGGGTGCAGGGTCCCAAGACTGGGCCATCCTCACTGCTTTCCCAGGCCACAGGCAGGGAGCTGGATGGGAAGTGGAGCGGTAAAGACTGGAACCTGCTCCCTGCAGGAGGCCAGCATCACAGGCAGCACCTGCCTTGCTCTGCCCAGGGCCAGCCTTTCCCTTGGGGGCTGGGAGACTGCAGCCCTAACCCGCCCTGGAGATGCCCAGCCAGCTCTGCAGCTGCTCCCGGGGCCACAGTGTGGACACTCCTCCCCCATGCGGATGTCTGTCCTGGTGTGGACACATCGCCTGCACCCCTTGTGCGTGCTGGTGCACTTGGCTCTGCTCTTGAAGTAACCGTGACGTGTCCAGGCTCTTGCCTGCTCGGAGGTCTAGACTGGTACCTGGGGCCGCTGCCGTGGCATTGCTATGCCCACCTGTAGTGCTGGTATCCCAGCTGGTATGGCCAGGAAAGCAGTGGAGGACGGCCCAAGGCCTCGGGACCCTGCACCCGCCTGGGGACAGGGAGGGAAAGCCTGGTTCCAGATAGGCTCTTCTCTGTTATTCAGCCTTTCAAATAAAGTCACTCTAAAAATATGTGCTTTTAGGTTTCTTTAGAAATGTCTTAAAAAGATGCTACTTAGGGTGTGGGCAGCCCTGTCGGGGGCTGGCAGGCTGAGTCCAGGCTGGCCCTGTGGGGCGGCTGCCAGCGGTGCCTCTCTGCGCAGCGGCAGGCAGCAGCAGAGCGAAGACTGGCACGGAGGTTGTTGCCAGCTCTGCACACGCTCTGGGTACAAACACTGGGTTGCGGTCAGGGCCCTCAGCCTGTCCCGGCTTCCTGCAGGTGTGGGAACCTTGGGGTTCACGTCTGTGTGGCAGTGCAGCTCCAGTGCACTGGGGCCTGCAGCACGCCCTGCCAGAAATGACCCCATCTGGCTTCAGCGTTTTTTTGATTCTTTTGTCTTACACGGCCTGCTGGACATTGATAAGCTTCCTACAATGCCTGCGTGGAGCTGGTGTCAGTGAGCTGGCTGCCCAGGGGCGGCCGACTGAACCCCTTCCTGTCCTACTGGCTGTCTTAGTCCGTTATGTGAGGGTGGGCCCTGCCTGGGTGGCCCCTTGGCCCGGAGCACCTCTCCTGTTCACTGTCCCAGGAATTGGGCGTGTGCTGCCCGGGGGGGGGGGCCCTAGGGAAGCAGGCCACTGACTGCCTGGGGCTGTGTGAGGTGCCCCAGCTGGCCCCTTGGGACAATGCCTCCTGGCATGGCAGGGGCCGGCCTGCTATAGAATGTCCAAGAAAACCTTTCTCCTTGCTGCCTCCCGCCTCAGCCTCGGGGAGCTCCCTGCCCATGGGCCGAGCTCTGCCTGTGGGTGACCCCAGGCCTCCCGGGGAGCTGTGAAGGAGGGAGAAGCAGACAGAGCTCCTGTGCGGTTTATTCAGGGGCCGGGGGAGGGTGCCGAGCAGCATCGTACGCCTTGGGGTCCAAACGAGACACGCCGCATGTGGCTCTTCACTCTGGCGGGCCACAACCGCGAGATGCCGGCAGCAACGAGCAGACACACACAGGCGGGCCCGGTGCTGTCCGCAGGGTCGGGACGACCCCACATCATGGGTGCAGCCGGACACTGGGGGCGAGGCCAGGGGGCCCCCAGCCCCCACTGCCCCATGATGGCAGAGGCTGGGCTGGGCAGCACTTCACAGAGGGGGTGTACCCGGGGCGGGCGTTTGCCCAGCGATGCAATAAATACAAGGGTGCACGCAAGGCGGCTGGTGGGGGCCCGCTTGACCCCGGCAGGCCTGGCTCTTCACAGACCGGGCAGGCGGTCTCCGAGCCGGGGGCTCCGGGCTCCCACGTCCGTGTGGGCCTTGGCGACTGTCCTGCTGCCGGCCGCGAGCGGGCCCCACCTGCAGGACCCTCCCGTGGCACTGCGGCCAGAGCAGTCCCGCTGCGGGCCTAGCCCTCCCGCACGCTCACTCGCGGCTCGGCCAGGGAGCTGTGGATGATGCCGATGATGGACTCGAGGCCACTGCCCTCCAGCAGCGTGCGGTGGTCGCCCTCGATCACATGCACCGACACCTTGCCGTCGCACACCTGCGGGGAACCTCGGGTCAGTGAGCCACCCTCCCCCGGCGCCCTGAGCCATCGTGCCCCTTCCTCTGTGCCCGCCCGCCAGCCCGGCACCCCACACCTGTGAGAGGTTGTAGTCGGCACCCAGGTCCTGGCCGTAGGCGCTGCCCGTCTTGGCACGCAGCAGTGTCACGTTGCCATGGTATTTGACCTTGGGGGTGTACTGCTCGACCGCCCGCAGCTTGTGGTAGAAGGAGTGGGCTGCGAAGCTCAGCTCCTGGCGGTCCAGGCCCTGGTGGCTCTTGGTGACCAGGTCCACGGCGGCTGCCACGCGCTCCTCCAGGTTGCTGAGCTGCAGCAGCGACTTCAGCAACTGTGCGATGGGGGTGTGAGTGTGTGCCCCGGTCCCCCCCCACCCAGGGCGCCCCCAGCCGCCACCTGCCCAGGGCGCCCCCGGCCGCCACCTGCCCAGGGCGCCCCGGCCTACCCTGCCATGCTCCGCGTCTGTGAACTGCTGTACGAAGAAGCAGATGGCCTCGGCCTCAGCCTCGGCCTCGGAGCCTGGGGTCATCTTGGCGCGATAGCTCTGTGGGGAGGGACGGTTGCAGCGGGGCGCTAGCCCGGGGGCCGGCACCCGTAGCCAGGGGCCCCGGACTCAGGTCTTACCTGGGTGTAAGCCAGCACGTACGAGTGGGAGCCGTCAAACAGGAAGAGGCTGTTGTGGGCAGGGGCCGCGCCCTGCTGGGCCTGCAGCTGTGAGCACATCTCGAAGGCCACGCAGGCCCCGTAGGAGTAACCGGCCACGCGGTAGGGGCCCTCGGGCTGCACCTGCCGGATGCAGTCAATGTAATAGGCAGCCAGGCTCTGGATGCTGTCCAGCGGGGCGGCCCGGGTGCACTGCAGGCCGTAGGTGGGCACGCTGAGCCGGGTGGCCAGGCTGTGGAACACGGTGGTGGAGCCCTCGATGGGATGCACCAGGAACAAGGGCCGCTCTGAGCTCTGCACAGAATTGAGCCTCGTTAGGGTGGGGCCCTCGGGGTTCACGAGCAGGGTGCTCCAGTTCAGCTGCTGCTCTCGGGCCGGGCTGCCCTCCTTGGATGTGGCCGACGACAGCTCTGTGGAGACAGGGAGGCGTCAGGCCTGGCCGCACACGCGGACTGCGGCTCCGGCGCCAAGGGCGGGCCTGCGGGCACCACACACCTGTGTCGGCGCTGGCCGTCGAGGAGAGCTCCTGCAGCCGCCGCAGCGTCAGCTGCCGCACCTCACGCATCGACAGCACCAGGTCGTGCTGGCGCTCCAGGGTCTGGCGCACCTCCACGCCCATCAGCGAGTCCAGGCCCAGGTCGGCCAGCGAGCTGTCCATGTTAATGCCGGCCAGGTCACGGATGCCTGCGGGGCAGGAGGGCTCGGTTGGCCGTCCGGCGGGGCTGCGGCTGTGGGCTCGGGTGCAGGGGGAGCGCGCGGAGCTCACCCAGAATGTGCGCCACGGCCTTGACCAGGTCCTGCTGGCCGTCGCCGTCGCTGCGGGCTGCCGCCTTCTTCTCAGCCAGCACGAAGCTGCTGAGCACGGTGTGGGGCTGGTGCAGGAAGAGCTCCAGCACCTCCAGGCAGGAGGCGATGCGCTGTGGCAGGGTACCCCCGATGACCGTGTCATTGGTGCCCATGGTCTCCAGGATGACGCCCACGTCGCCAACAGCACCCCACTGCACCGCCAGGCCTGCAGGGGAGGGGCCGGTGAGTGGTCCGGCGGGCGGGGCGGGGCCCGGTGGGCAGGCAGGCTCTCACCTGGCAGGCCGTCCTGTCGGCGCTGCTCGCAGATGCGCTCCATGCACGAGTTGGCGAAGCCGTAGTTGCTCTGGCCCGAGTTGCCACGGCCGCAGCTCACGGAGGAGAAGACCACGAAGTAGTCCAGCTCGGGGCATGCCTCGCGGCTCACCCTGCGGGCACCTGTGTCACTCCTTCTGGCCGCTCCCAGCCCCGCCGCCCTGCGCCCGCAGCCCGTGCCCACCTGTCCAGGTTCATGGTGCCGTGGTACTTGGGTTTGCTGACATCGAGGAACAGGGCGGGGCTCTGGTTCTCCAACATGCCGTCCCTGAGGACCTGCGGGGGAGGCAGCCTCAGCTCCCAGCCGGGCCTCGGGGTGCTGTCCCTGGGGACCCTGCCCAGGGTCTGTCCTCACCATGGCCAGGTTGAAGATACCTCCGACAGGCCCCAGCTGCGCGGCCTCGGCCACCAGGGCCCGCGCGCTATCAAGCGAGCTGGCATCCTGGGTGGACACCAGCACCTGCACACCCTGGCGCCGCCACTCGCGGACCTGCTTGGCCTGGTAGCCTGCAAGACACGGGGCGCTGGGGGCCGGCAGGGGCAGGGGGCACCGCCGCCGCGGGGGACCACCCGGGGCCCCACCCACTCACCTGTACGGATCCCCGAGCGGGACGTGAGCACCAGTCGCTGAGCCCCGCGCAGCACGAGCCACCCAGCCAGCTCCAGGCCGAAGCCGCCCAGGCCGCCGACCAGCACGTACGTCTTGTGTGGCGGGCAGAAGGTCTTGGAGACGGCCATGGTCAGGGTGGGTGTAACTGCCTTCAGCCCTGCCTCCTGTTCCTCCTCGCGCACCTGTGGCCGAGCAGCCCAAGGGCTCAGGTGCTGCCCGGCTTGCCCAGCGTGCCCAGCTCGCCTAGTGCACCCAGCCTCACCGGGGCGCCCGGCCTGGGGTGCCCACTCAGCCTCACCTGGACGATGACCTTGCCAATGTGCTTCCCCTGGGCCATGTAGCGGAACGCCTCCTCCACCTGGTCCTTGGGGAACACAGTGCGTTTGAGGGGTTGCACCACCCCATCACGGATGCCTGCCCGCAGCAGCTCGGCCACCTCCCGCCAGTCCTCGTTGGCGTCTTGGAAGAGGGCGTCCAGCAGGACTCCGTGGAAGGTCACGTTCTTGAGGAAGACGGCCATGCCTGGACACGGAGGAGAGGCGGGCGGCTCACTCAGGGCCCAGTGGAGGGGCACTCCAGGCCACCCCCGCCCGGCGGGCCCTGGCACTCACCCAGCGGGTGGTTGTTGGAGAGGTCAAACTTGCCAATCTCCAGGAAGCGGCCGTGCTGGGCCAGGCAGCGCACGCTGGCCTGCAGCTTCTCCTCCGCCAAGGAGTTGAGGACGAGGTCAACACCTGGGCGGGAAGGGGCGTCGGGTCAGGGCCCGGCCCTCCGCCTGGGCCGCAGGGAGCCCCGCGGGGGCCCCGGCTCACCCTTGCCGGCCGTGTGCCGCAGCACGTGCTGCTCGAAGGTCGTGTCGCGCGAGTTGGCGAAGCTGGTGTCGTCAAGCTGAGGGAACCGGGCCTGGAGGTACGCCCGCTTCTCGGCCGACCCTGGCAGGGGATGGACGGCCGTGAGCTGGGCCGCCGCAGACTGGGCAGGGCAGGGGGACAGGGCGCAACCTTACCCACGGTGGTGAAGACACGGCAGCCCATGCTGAGCGCGATGGCGATGGCGGCCTGGCCCACGCCGCCGGAGCCCGAGTGGATGAGCACCGTGTCCCCTCGCTTCATGCGCCCCCGGACCAGCAGTGAGTAGTAGGCAGTGGTGTACACGACCGGCACCGAGGCTGCCTCCTCCAGGGTCCTGGGGACACACCAGGGGTCAGGGGGCTTGGCTGCCAGCTGCCCCACATCCCCGAGGGGCCCTGGTCCACTCACCAGCCGGAGGGCACATCCCAGAGGAAATCGGACGTGAGCAGGACGGAGGTGGCCAGGCCCTCCGCAGGTACCAGCCCCATCACGCGGCGGCCACAGGCGTCCCGGCCAGAGAACTCCATGCCCAGCATGCAATCCCTGGTGCTCCACTTGCCTGGGGCAGGGCCAGGGGGCAGTGAGCTGGCAGCGCCTCCTCCCCCGGCCCTCCCAGGGCCCAGAACCCCGGCACACCTGGGATGGCGTCGGCTGACAGCTTGCCAGTGGCCAGCATGATGTCGCGGAAGTTGAGCGAGGCGTAGTAGACGGTGCAGAGCTGCGTGCCGGGGCTGGCGGGCTGGGCGTGCCGGAGTGGTGAGCACACCCAGCGGATGGACGAGAGGTCACCACGGGTGAGCACGTTGACGAAGGCGTGCGCCGTTGGCTCCAGGGGCTTGTCTGTGGGCGGCAGGTGTGGGCTGCTGCGGGGCCCCATCTCGCCTCCTCAGCCCGCCCTCGCTGTGCCGGGAGCTGGCGGCGGGGCGACTCACCCTGCTCCAGCGGCAGGTGGCGGAAGGTGCCCCAGGCCCCGTCGCGGTACACGTTTATCACCAGGTCCGTCCGCAGCACGTCCTCCAGCTCCGGAGACCCGGGGCCCAGGGCCGGGACGCGAGACTCACTGCTGAGGCTGGACAGCAGGATGCACCTGCAGGCGGCAGAGCGTGAGGGGCTGGGGGGTGAAGGGGAGGGGGCTGGGAGGGCGCGGCAGGTGTCTCCTACCGAATCCGGTGCCCGCCGGGCTCTTTGCGGAGGCAGTTCACCAGGCCCACAACGCCCGACGTGGGGCAGCTCATGGCTGTCAGCCACACGGGCCGGGGCGAGTCCTCGGCCAGGATGTCCTGCAGGACAAAGCAGCGGGGTTGGCCTCTGTGGGACCTGGGCCGTGTCGGGTGGGGCCCCGTCCCCAGGTCCAGACCTTCAGAGGGTCCACCCAGCGGAAGGTGGCGTCGTCCACCGGCAGGAAAATGGGGCTGTGGTGTGGGGCTGGCCGGCGGCACAGGAAGAGAGCGGAGCCGTAGCACGAGGTCTTGACGGCCACAAGCTGCAGGGTGGCCTTGGCCATCAGCTTCTCCCACTCGTCCTGCAGGGCGGAAGCGGGTATGAGTCCTGCGTCCTGGCACCCCCCAGCCCTCCCTGCCTGACCACTGCCCACCTGTGTCAGCAGGCTTGGCCCCTGTTGAGGCTCGGCGGCCGCGAGGAAGGCCAGGGTCTCGCCGAGGGTGTGTCCCCGGAGCAGAACGTGCAGCAGCAGAAAGCCACCTTCCTTGAGGGCTGCTGCCATGTTGCCCAGCGCAGAGGCCGGGTCCCCGAGGTTGGCCAATGTGCAGTTGCACACCAGCAGGTCGGCTGCGCCCAGACTGCTGGGGGCGGGGCCCTCGGGGTCCCACTGACTCTGGCCGATGCCCCACTGCTGCAGCTGGGCCTGGGCGGCCTCCAGGGCCTGGCTGTGGCGGTCAGTGGCCGTGTAGTCCAGCTGCAGCAAGGGCTGGCTGTTGAGCAGGTCCGGAATGCGGGTGAACAGGTGACCCTCGCCGGCCAGCACCTGGCATGGAGGCGTTCCCCCGAATCAGGTGTGCACCAGGCAGAGGCCTCCACTGCAGCGGACCATGCCAGCCGGAGGCTCCTGCACACCTCCCGGGGGCCACGGGGTGGGGTGGGGTCATCGTCCCCCACAGTAGTCACAGAGCAACCCGAGCCCAGGCACTCCCTGTGTGACCATTGGCCTGGCACGTACCTCTACCACCTTCATCCTGGGGCTCGCCAGGTTCTCCAGGGCCATGTCCACACAGACCTTGAGGGCCGGGCAGGCGAGGAGGCCGCTGAGCAGTGGGTCTTCGGGCAGCAGGGACCTCTCCTGGGCCAGAGCGTGGGTGAGAGCCTGCTGCAGGTTCCCATTGAGCTGCAGCTGGCAGGCCGCCGCCAGCAGCCGAGGAAGAACCTGCTGTGGGGGCTCCTGGGGCACTGGTACCCTGGCCCCGTCCAGCCCAGGCACAGCCATTTTCAGTCCCTGCTGGGCCACCCGGGTCTGCAGCACCTGTGCCAGCCCTGGCGGGGAAAGAGAGAGACAGTCCTGCTGGCCCTGGCGTGCCCAGTCTGCTCGGGGCCCGGCCCTCTGGCGCAGGCAGCAACCCCACACACAAGGCACTGACTCGCTGCGCATGGCCGCCCCCACCACACCCTGCAGGGTGCTCCTGGAGCCGTGCCGTCTGGGGGCTCACCCTTGCACAGCTGCAGCTCCTCCTGCAGGGCAGCATTCTCAGCCAAGCAGCTGCCTTCCATGTGTGGCACGAAGCAGAATTTCTCCAAGATGGGCGCCAGCTGCTCCTGCTGGCGCCGGGGGGCCGCGGAGGTGTGCAGGCCCGCCAAGTGAGCCCCCCCGCTCACCAGGGTGCCCAGGCAGCTGTCCACCACTGCGTCGGCCGCTGCGGGGAAAGACGGGTGAGCGTGGGCTGGGTGGGGCTCAGTGGGGCACGGTGGGCACGGGAGGCTTACCTTGGGCCTCACCCCACGAGTGCACCTTGCGCAGGTGCGTGGCAGGGTCGATGTGCAGGGCAGTGATGCGGGTGGGCAGGCGCAGGCTGCGCTGGCTGTGGCCCAGGATGGACACCTGCAGCATGGCGTCCAGGAAGGTCACCCAGTTGTCGTTCCACAGCAGCTGGCCGGAATTGCCTGTGGCATAGGGGACGGCCCTCATACCGACTCTCCAGAGTCCCCTGTCCCCGCCCAGGGTGCAGAGACCCCTGCCCACCTTCGAGGTTGGCCTCCAGGACGCCCTGGAAATGGGGGCCGTAGTCATAGCCGCGCAGCCGCAATTCCTTGTACACATCAGCCTGGGCCAGGCGGAAGGCAGCCATGGGGTCTGCAGGACTCTGGCCTTCCAGGAGCTCAAAGAGCTTGGGGTTCGGATCCTCCCACTGGTACACCTTCCCTGGGGGTGGCAAGGGGCTCAGGATCCATCCTGCGGTCCATTCCCTGCTTCCGGGGCGGGGGCTGCCATCACCGCACCCTGTCCCTGCTCACCGCTCACGATCAGGTTGCCATTATCAGACACCTCGAAGGCACGGGAGGCTTCCAGGAGCCGCACCTCCAGGGTGACAGTGCCTGCAGTGTGTGGGGGGTCAAAGTCAGAAGGCAGCAGAACCCCCGGGGTGTCCCGAGCAGCCCCAGGCCCAGGGCTCACCGGACTTGGGCAGGATGGTGGCCTGGTGCAGGGTCACATCCTCAAACACCACGGGCAGCTGCTCCATGGCCAGGCCCAGGCGGCGGGCCAGCGTCCGCCAGGCCAGGCACAGATAGCCGGTGGCAGGGAAGATGACACGGCCGTCGATGCAGTGGTCCACCAGGTAGTGCTCAGGGGACTCGGGGCTGGTGTCTGTGGGCGGGCACAGGCCTCAGCGCGCCCCTGGGCCCGGCCCACCCCCCACGCGGAGGGGCACCCAGCTCACCGATGGTGTAGACAGTGGCAGAAGAGGAGCTGGAGCCATTGGGGAAGTCCTCGGCGGCAGGCACGTCCCAGCTCTGGCTGTGTTCCCACTTGATGTAGGGCGAGATGAGCGGGGTACCCCGTGGGGCCGGGAACTCCACGGGTGGGAACAGTGCATCGGGGTCCACATCGGTGCTGGCGGGGACGGAGACATGAGCACGTGCCAGGGCGCCGGGGTCCCCCACGCCCAGCACGGCATCCGGACGCCTACCCGGTGAGGTGCAGCTTGCCCAGGTTGGTGAGCAGGAACTCCAGGTTGTCCCTGTGGTCTTTCTTCATCAGTGGCAGGATGGTGCAGCTGGGCTTGAGGCCCCGCTTCAGGACGGCCTGGGGCGACAGGGCCGGGCTGAGCTGGGCTGGGGGTGGGAGAGGAGGCGCAACCTTGCCCCTCTCCAGAACCACCACACTCCCCTGCCCCGCACGCCCCCTTGCGCACCTGCAGCAAGGCATGAGGGGCGATTTCCAGCACCACAGCCTGCTCGGGGACGTGCCACAGTGCCTCCTGGAAGAGCACGGGGCTCACGAGGTTGTTGACGTTGTACTCAGCCGAGGACGTGCGGGCCAGGCTGCCCTGCCACTCGGCCTCCGGGATGGAGGTGCTGAGCCAGCGGGCAGAGCGCGGCCGCGGCTGGCGGATCACCTGTTGGGGATGGAGCAGAGCGGGCTCAGGGGGAGTGGGCCCCTGCCCGCGGCCAAGTGGACCCCTTGCCCGGGCACACAGAACCCACCTTCTTAAGCTGCTCCAGCAGCGTGGGTGCGATGGCATCCATGAAGTATGAGTGGAACGCCAGGCCACCTGTGCGCACCTCCTTGGCAAATACGCCCTCCTGCTTTAGCTGCTGCACAAACTCGGCCATGGGCGCCTGGGGCGAGCGGCAGAGGTCAGGGGCTGCAGCCTATGCCCACACCCCCTGCCCTGGGTTCACACAGACGGGCAAGACTCACCTGAGGCCCCGAGATGGTCACTGTGTCCACGGAATTGTGGCAGGCGGGCACGATGCCAGGCGGGCAGCGCTGCTTGCATTCCTCCCAGGAGAGGCCTATGAGGGGAGGGCCCAAGTGTGGCTCACCGACCTGCCTGCCTTGGGGCAGTGAGGTTGCCAGCTGCTGTCATCTGGGGGTGGCTCAGTGGGGCACGGAGGCCCCTGCAGTGACCAAGCAAGGCCTCACCCTGCTCTCTGCCCACCCTTCCCCTGCTGGGCCCCTGCAGCCCTTGGGGATTCAAAGAGCAGAAGCCAGGCCCAGGGCACCACACGGATGCGCCACATGGATGCGTGTGTGGGCACTGGGGGCTTGGCTCAGTAGCCAGTGTATGGGACAGCACACCTGCTGGCAGAGGGGCCCACTCCTTCCCAAGACCACAGGCGCAGCAGGGGAGCCATACCCACGGCAGCCATGGCACCCGATGGGAGGTGGGCGTCCTTGATGCACTGGCCCCTCCAGTAGGCGGCCAGCACGGCCTCCTCCTGGGACAGGCAGCCGTCGGCGTAGCCGCAGGCCACCTCCCCCAGCGAGTGCCCGATGATGCCGTCTGGCTGCAGCCCCACAGCGGTCAGCAGATCGATGAGAGCGATCTGGGGGAAGCCGAGGCTGCGTCACGCCAGCCCAGGGTGGGTGTCCCCCAGGTGGACGTCCCCCAGCTCCTCTGCCCAGGGCCCTGGGATGCGTGTCCCCCAGCTCCTCTACCCAGGGCTCCCGGGGTGCGTGTCCCCCAGATCCTCCGCCTGGGGCTCCCGGGGTGGGTGTGTGTCCCCCAGCTCCCGGGGCTCCCAGGGCGGGCGGGGGGGCATCCCCCAGCTCCTCTGCCCAGGGCCCCGGGGTGGGCACAGGGCTGCGCACCTGGATGGCCGTGAGGCTCACGAAGGCGTACACAATGTCATCAAACACGCCCTCCTCGGGGTTCAGCAGCAGGTCTGAGACCTTCACCCCAAATGGTGCCAGAGTCTGGTCTGAGTGCAGGATGGAGGCCCGGAAGCGGTCTAGGCGCATGAGGCTCCGCCCCATGCCATGCCACTGCGTGCCCATGCCTGCCCAGAAGAGTGTATTAGAGCCCGGCGGCTGCCCAGGCCACTGCCCACAGGGGTGCGGGCCGCGTGCGGGGCAGGGCCTCACCAGAGCAGATGAACCAGAGTGGGCGCTTGCCAGCCGGCACCTGCTGCACATCCTGGCTGCTGCCCTCGCCGCCCAGCACGGAGTAGCCCCGGAAGGGCATGGCGGCAGGGGAGGTGGGCGCGATGTTGTTGAGCATGCTCACAAAGGTCAGGTCCTGGCTGTGCCCCTGGCCCTGCTCAAGCAGGCTCTGGACGGCCTCAGGGGTGCGCCCACTGGCGAGCAGCAAGCGGGGCAGCGCGGCGTGCGGGCCACGGGGCACGGAGGCCCGGGTGTTGGGCTGCAGGATGACGTGCACGTTGGAGCCACCGAAGCCAAAAGAGTTGATGCCCACGTTGCCACCACGCACGGGCAGCGGCTGGACCACCACCTGCAGCCGGCCGTCGCTCAGCGCCGGCACCTCAGGGTTGGGGTTGTGGAAGTGCAGGTTGGGGGCCCAGACCCCGTGCTCCAGGGACAGCAGCACCTGCAGGCAGAAGCCCCCGTCTGCAGAGCCTGCTCTTTGCAGGCACGCCGTGGGGCCAGCCCATGGGATGCCGAGAGCCATCCCTCCCCGGGGCCTGTACCTTGGCTAGGGACGTGAGTCCTGAGGCAGGCTCGGGGTGCCCCATGTTGGACTTGGTGGAGCCGATCAGCAAAGGCTCCTTGCGGGAAGCGCACAGGGCTCGTACGATGCCATTCAGCTCCTGGGGGTCACCCACCTTAGGGGGACACGGGAGGGTCAGAGGTCACGGCTGTGCTGCCGTGCAGGGGGCCGTGGGCGGGGTAGGCTCACCTTGGTGCCCGTGCCATGGGCCTCAATGTACTCCAGCGACTCGGGGGCCAGGCCAGCTGGTTCGTACAGTGAGCGGATAAGCTGCTCTTGGGCCTCCCCGGAGGGGAATGTCACACCTGGGGGTGAGACAGTGTCTCAGGCTGACCCCCACCCCCAGAGTCCTGTGCCCAGCTTGGTCCCACCTCTGTGTCCCCTGGCCTCTCCTCCCCATCCCATATCCCTGCTCCCCGTGTCCTGTGCCTCCCCTCACCCTGTGTTCTGTAACCCCGACCCCACACTTGGCCCCACCTCTGTGCCCCCTAGCCTTCCCCCCACCCGTCCTGTGCCCCAGCCAGCTCCACCCTGCCCCCCACTCGGCCCCCCCCTCCGCCACACCTTGCTCCTTGCTGCCGTCGGTATTCGTGCCACTGTTGAGGATGGTGGCATACACGCGACGGGCCAGCGACTTCCTGGTCAGCAGGACGGCCACCACGGCCTCGGAGCGGCAGTAGCCGTTCCCTGCAGAGAGCTGGCCTTAGCGGTGGAGGCCAGAGGCCCTGGTTCCAGCACCCCCCCACCCCTGGCCCCCGCGCCCCCCACCTGCATCGTCGAAGGACTTGCAGGCGCCCTCGGGGCTCAGCATGCCCAACTTCATGAACTGCACAGACGTGTTGGGTTTGAGCAGCAAGTTGATGCCGCCCACCACAGCCGCCGGGCACTCCCCGCTGCGGATGGCCTGGTAGGCATTGTGCAGGGCGAGCAGGCTGGAGGAGCAGGCCGAGTCCAGGGTGACGCTGGGCCCTGGTGGGGGGATGCAGGAGTGGGCACCTCGGGCAGCCCCACCCCACCCCGCAGAACCACCTCCCATCTCAGAGCGGCTGGCACGACCCACCTTTGAAGTCGAAGAAGAACGAGAGCCGGTTGGCCATCATGGCCCGCTGGCAGCCCACCATGCTGTAACCCAGGAGGGTCTCGGGGTCTCGGCTCAGGGCCTCCGAGGCCTCCGAGCCGCTTGCGCCCACCCACACGCCGGTGTGTGTGCCCCGGAGGGAGGCGGGATTGAGGCCTGCAGGGTCAGGGGGCAGGCCCAGGTAGGGCAGAGAAACAGGTCAGGAAGTGGGGCGTGAGGCACTGTCCCCCAGCCTCCCCGGGTCCCTGGGGTCACGGGTCTGAGCTGAGCCTGCTGGCCCCAGCGCCTGGCCCCAAGGGCGGCCCGGCTGAGATAAGCAGACAAAGGCTGAGTGTCCAGGCAGGGAGGAGAGGGGCCCGGGGCAGCCCCAAGGGAGCGAGGCCCAAGGTGGCACCCGGCACGGGGGTCGGGGTGGTGACAGGCCGAGCTGCCAGGTCGGTCCTCCTCTACAGCCATCACCCCCGCCCTTGCCCAAGACCAAGGCAGACACGGGACAGTGAGGAAACTGGGGCGCCGGGGCACGCCAGGGACGCAGCTGGCAGGCGGTTGTGAAAGCGCTCCAGGGCCCTGCGTGGCCGCTCACCTCCGTCCACGATGGCCTCGTAGGTGACCTCCAGCAGCAGCCGAAGCTGGGGGTCCATGGTGTGCGCCTGCTTCGGGTGCACGCCGAAGAAGGCGGCGTCGAACTTGGACAAGTCCTTCAGCTTGCCGGAGCGCCGGGGCAGGCCGTAGAGCCCTGCGGGTGGCAGCGCGCTCAGCCCACGGGGACGGACCAGGCCGCCCGCGAGTGGCTCCAACCTCGGGCCCCCACTCACCCGCCTTCCAGCGGCGGTCGTCGTCCGTGACCATGTCCACGCCGCCCACCAGGTTGGCCCAGAACTCCTGCATGTTGTCCGACTCGGGCAGTCTCCCGGACAGGCCGGCAATCACCACCTCCTCCATGGCTGCTCTGCGGGACGGCCCGGGAGACAATGGAGGCGGGGGCGTCGGGCCCGGGCCCCGGACTCGGCGCGCGCTGCAGCCACAGGGCTCGGGGGGCAGGCGGCCCTCGCCCCACAATGGGCCGGCCCGGAGAGGCGCTGCGGGACGGTGCCGGCCGGCTCGGCACACCTGTGCAGGGCCTCGTGGCCCGCGCTGGGCCGTCCTCCCGCCTCGCAGGGGCCCCGGGCTGCTGCGGAGGGTCCCCCTGCGGCGGCGGGGCCGGAGCCGGGGCGGGAGGGCGCCTCTCTGCGGCAGAGGGGGCAGGGGCGAGGCCCGGGCTGCTCCAGCGACTTCCGCCGGCCGGCCTCGTGCGCGCGGAGGCCCGGCTCGCCCCTGGCCCCGCGCGCAGCCCCAAGGATGGGCGCTTGTGGCGTGGCTCCCCAGAGGGCCCCGCGCCGTGCTCCCCCACTTCCAGGCCCGCCGAGTAGTGGGGTGCAGGCCCCGCGCCCTCGCCGCGCCCCCCGGGCCTCCGCGCCCCCCCCGGGCCCCGCGCCCCCCTCAGGGCCCCCGCGCCGTGGGGAGCTCCCCAAACGCCTGCGGGGGTGCGGCGCCCACGGGGCCCCGGCCGAAGCCCCGTACCTGGTGAGGGCGCGGGCGGCGGAGAGCGAGGAGCAGCGCGGGCGGAGCGGAGCGGGCGCCGCGGCGTCTCTCTGGCTCCCTCTAGGCCGGCGCCGACTCTATTTAAACCGCGGCCATCCCCGGGCGGCCACGCCACATGGGCTGACAGCTTGGCTGCGCCGCCCAGGCCAATGAGCGTCGGGGCTGCGCCCCGGGCCTCGGCGCGCCGCCGGTGGTGGGGTGACCCGCGCGCGCCGCCCCCCGGACTCTGCGCGGGAGCGCGCTCGGGGGCGGGGAGCGCGCTCGGGGGGGCGGGAGGAGCGCGGGGGAAGCCGGGGAGCAGCGCGCCCGTCCCCCACTTCCGCTCCCCGCCCCCCGCGACGCACGCGCTGGGGGCCGCCCCCACCCTCGTCTCCGCAGACGCCACGTGTGCGCCGCGCGCGACGGCGCTGGGCCGGGGGCGCGCTGGGGGCCGGGGACGTGCCGGGGGTGCACTGGGCTGGGGGGCGCTGGGGCGCGCTGGGGCGCGCGGCTCACCGGGATGGGGACGTATCGGGGGCGTGCTTGGCCTGGGGCGCGCGGGGCCGGGGGCGCACTGGGCCGGGGGTGTGCTGAGGCACGGAGCTGGGGGCGCGCTGGGACCGGGGGCGCGCTGGGGCCGGGGGCGTGCCGGGGCGGGAGGCGCGGTGGGCCGGGACGCGGGGCGCACGGGGCCTGGGGTGCGCTGGGGCGCGGGCGGGAAGGCCGCTGGGGGTACCCGCGTGGCTACCCGGGCCTCGTCGCCGTGGCCGCTCGCGCCCAGCCGGCCGGGGGCGTGGCGCGCTGCCCCGCGGTGGCCAATGGCGCGCCGGGGGCGTTTGCGGCGGCCCAATGGCAGGGCGCGAGTGGGCGTTGCTAGGCGATAGGGTGATGGCCGGCTGCGCGCGGCCTCGGGCTGGCGGGCTGCGGCGCGGTCGTTGACCCCGGCCGAGGGCTCCCCGGGCGGGGTTACTGCCGGTCGCCGCGCGCCTTCCTGGGCGGCGCGGGGTCCACGCGGGCCCGGCGGCCCCCTTCCCGGCTGCCGCTCCGGGAAGGGCCCGGTGCGCCGAGGGCGGAGCTCCCCCGGGACCGGAACAAAGGCGCTCGGGCCACTGTCCGCTGGGGGGCCGGGCCCTGCCGGGTGGCCTCAGGACACCTCATGTTCAGGGGCAGCAGACAGGCGGGCGTTCAGAGGCCACGAGCATGCGCTTGTGTTCCAGGGAGTCCCGGGTTGGGCAGTGCAGGGACTAGGGGCCCTACCACCCCCACCCTCCCCGCCACCGGAGGGGCCCAAGAATGCGATGGGGTGGCAGAGGGCAGGGACGAGGAGGGAGGAGTCCCCGGGGAGGCCGACCCCAAGGTCCTTCCAGTTCTGCCCGACAAGGGGTGGAGGTCACCCCAGCACCGAGCTCTCCAACGTGGAGCCCCTAGCTTGTCAAGAAACAGTCTGTGACCACAGGATGGCCTTGGAAGGGGCCCGGGGCTTGCTGAAACCTGGGGAGGGACCATGGGTCAGGTGGGCAGGACTTGGGGACCCTGGGACCAGGTTGCAGTCTGCCCTCTTGAGCCAGGCAGCCTCACAGCTGCCAGCTCTCACAGGTGGCGGTCACACGGCTGGGAGTGGCCTCCTCCCCACGCACTCCTAGGCAAGCAGTGACCCTGGTTCGGAAAGGGAAAGGCCGTGGCCCCGCTGGCCGCCGTGGCCCCGCATGTTACCACATGCTCTTTGGAGAATATGGGGCCGCTCCTGCAGCACGGACACCTTGCTTCCCACCCAGTTTCGCGAGTGGCAGGGGTGACCATCACCTGCCCAGCCCCACAGGAGGCACCAAGGGCTCAGGGACTAGGCTGTGGATTCACTCATGGCAGCCTTCTGTGTGCCTGGAACCCCTCGCCCCCTGTCCAGGCCCATGCGGCCACATGGTTGGACACCAGCTGGGTGCAGGTGGCTGTGGGCGGAGCCAGCCCAGTCCTGGCACAAGCACCAGGCTGTGTTTCCCAAGTAGGACACAAACAGTCCTGCCGGCCAAGGGAGGCACGAGGGAGCCACCTGCTTTAATGGGCAGCGCTGGGCCACGCCAGGCTCAGGTACTGACGTTGTAGTTCCGGACCCTGGGGGGTGGCCGGCGGCTCCTGGGCTTGGCAGGCTGGGATGCGGAGGGTCTGGCAGGTCCGGACTTCGGCTGGGCTGTCTTCGTCACCCCTTCCACGGCCAGGGCTGTGCTGGGGCTCTTGGCTGGGCACTCTGCTGGGAGGGGCAGACACAAGTGGGGACATTGAGAAGGGCTGTGACGCCTTGGCCAATCCATGTGGGTCACCCACCTCCTGGCACCCCTGAGCGTGCCACCTGCCACCTTGCCACAGTAGCCTGCAGCATGGACTTCTCACACCACTCTGGCCCCACGCATGTGGCCAGGCACCGGCCCGCCCGGTCAGTCACAGGTGACCTTTGCTCCCCAGTTCTGAATGAAAGGGTTGGGGTACCTGGAACTGCAGCTCCCTCTGGCCCTGGCAAGGGTGTGCTCTCCAAGGCGTGGGTGGGGAGGCAAGTGTCACTTGCAGGGCCAGCCCCCTTTTCTGCCAGTCTCACTGTTGGTCCTGTGGCTGGCAAGGGCTTGGCAGTCCATCCATACCCCAGACTCAGGAGCCAGCACTCAGACATACTGCCTGGGGACCCTCCTGGGCCTAAGCCAGGGAAGGCCACAACAGGAGCACCTACCCTGACCGGTCGGCTGAGATGGGCACATCCCAGACCTGGTGCGTTAGAAAGGGCTCCACGGGAGGGTTCAGAGAGGTGAGAGGTAGCCGTGTCCCTGCTGGGGCCAAGGGGCCTGGGCGAGAGGCCATGACTGCTTTCACATCCTTGGGCCACTGCTCTGCCCACCACGCTGGGGTAGGGGGTGGGATGCCTCAGGGCAGTCAGGAGGATCTGCCTCTGTGCTGGCCAGCTCTGCGGGTGAGCATGGGGGCTTGGCAGTGTGTGTGGAGTGGAGCAATGCACCCCTGGGGGCCGCCTACTGGGCAGGCTCACCCCACGTGCCCATCCCGCTGCCTTCTCCCCTGGAAACTCCTCTCTGGACATCATGGCTGCTGCCAGGGCCAGAGGCATCCAGCTGGGGCAAGCCAGGCGAGCAGCAGCCCTCTGCCCTGGGCACTCGGGGTGTGACCAGTGGGGGGCACACTGGGGGCGTGGCCAGAGTGGGGTATGGAGGGGCATGACTGGTGCGGGAGCAGAGTCTCAACCGGGGACGAGTCTGCAGGATCCAGAACTGACAGGGCCTTGGGCACACACACTCATGCCCTCCTGCCCTAGGGAGAGTACCCAGCACCGGGACCCTCAACACCTACAAGGGGGACAGCGCTGAGGCTCTGGGCACTGGCCCATCCAGGACTCCCCAGGGGATAGCTGGTGTCTGTGTCCACTCCGGGGCCCTGGCTCCCTTCCACATGGGCTCAGGGACAGCAGAGGCACAAGCTGTTCCTGGGCTCTGGGTCGGCGGCCAGGGCCAGACATGCTCAGCTGGGAGCCAGTGGAGAGCAGAGGGCCCCCACCGGGTCCAGGACGAGGCCCAGGGTGAGTGGAGATAGAGGTTCCAGCTGGGGCCAGGGGCTCTGGCCTGTGGCTGGGCCATGGCAGGACTATCTCTGCCAGCTCTCCACTGTGGTGGCCCAGTAGTACAGGTGGCCAGGCAAGCGCTACAGAAGTGCCCATGGGAGCACTACGGCTACGGCCATACCCACGGGAACCGGGTAGGCTATGCCCATGGGAGCTGGACAGACAGGCCATGCTCAGGAGCCAGCCCAGTGGGAACAGGTGCAGGAGCACATGAATGAGGCAGGCACGAGTGGGCTGCATCTCGATGGGGGGACCCCCTACTTTTGTGGGGCTGCAGCTCTGCTGGGCAAGCAGGTGGGAATGAGGCACTGGCTGTGTGACACCATGAACAGAAACACGAGAAGTGGGGAGATGTGGACTGGACGCCCAGGGGACGCTAGGGACAGGCCTGGGCATCTACTCTGAGTGAGGCCCTCCTCCCGTCCAGCTCTCCTATGGCCGGGGAAGGCAGCCGAGCTGGGCCCATGTGCTTGGGCCCTGTAAGAGTCTCCTGGCTTCAGATCAGCTCTGTTCTGGCCACTGCAGTTATTTGGGGAGTGAGCTAGCAAATGGAAAATTCTCTCTTCCCGCCATCCTGTCTCTTCCTCCTTCTTGCTCTTTCAAGTAAGTAAACAAATAATTAAAAAAAAAAAAAAAGTAGCAGGATGAACACTGGGAACCAAGAGCTACGCAGCCAAGGAAGGACACCTTGCGAATGTGACAGTCACAGCCCTGTCAAGAACTCTGCCCAGCCGCCCCGCGCAGGGCTCCCCTCCCAGGGCACACTGGCTCGACCACTGCGTGATATGGGACAGTGGAGTCGAACTGCCCACCTGTTTCCGAGCAGGGGTGGCGACACACAGGAGCCACGGGCCCACCAGGCTCCCCTTGCAAAGCGGTATACAGAACTCAGTCAGTTCAAAACAGGTCCCAAACACTGCGAGGGAGTGGCTGGTGTGGCCTCAGGCCGTCACCTGCAGCACACGGCCCGGGGTATCTAGGATGCACAGTCAGCCAATCAGGAATACAGGGAACATCTCTTGACAAAAGGGCTGGGGCCATGGTGCAGCTGGTTCTGCCCTTGCCTGTGACACCAGCATCCCACGGGTGCCACCTGAGTCCCAGTTCCTCCATGTCTGATCCAGCTCCCTGCCAAGGGTCTGAAAAGGCAGCAGGAGACAGACCAAGTACTTGGGTACCTGCACCACATGGCAACCGGGAGGAAGCTCCTGGCTCCTGGCTTCAGGACAGCCCAGCTCTGACTACTGAAGCAGTGAGTTAGCGGATGGAAGATCTCTTTCTGCCTTTCAAATAAATAAATAAACCTCTCTCTTTTTAAGATTTATTTATTTTTACTGGAAAGTCAGATATGCAGAGAGAAGGAGACAGAAAGATCTTCTGTCTGTTGATTCACTCCCCAAGTGGCTGCAACTGGAGCTGAGCCGATCCGAAGCCAGGAGCCAGGAGTCGTCAAGCTACTGCACCAGGCCAGGCTTTTCTTCTTTTTCAAGATGTATGGGCCTGGTGCGGTAGCCTGGTGGCTAAAGTCCTTGCCTTGCATCTGCTGGGATCCCACATGGACTCTGGTTCTAATCCCGGCGGCCCCATCCAGCTCCCTGTTTGCGGCCTGGGAAAGCAGTGGAGGACGGCCCAAGGCCTTGGGACTCCGCACCTGCATGGGAGACCCAGAGGAGGCTCCTGGCTTTGGATTGGCTCAGCTCTGGCTGTTGTGGCCACTTGGGGAGCGCGTCAGCAGATGGAAGATCTTCCTCTGTGTCTCTCCTCTTATCTTATATCTGACTTTCCAATACAAATAAACAAATCTTAAAAAAAAAAAATAGGAAAGCACACAGCAGACATTACCTTTAGTGCTACAAGTTGGGATGTGACCCAAGATGGCAAATTATGGTGTTGGTGGGGGGTGTGCGCGTGAGCCGTGGGGCTGGCCAAGGGCTGGCTCCCAGGCCCTAGGGCCCCACACCTCCCTGTGACCCCCCCAGCCCAGGCCCCCTCCTAATGGCCTCCGCTCTGCACTCCCAGAGCTGCGGCGAGGCAATTAGAGGCCCTGGGGGACAGACAAGTCCCACAGCAACGTGCGCCTTTCACAGCAGAAAGGAAGACGGCCACATCGGCTTCCCCACGTCCATGGGCCGGGGGGAGGCTGCAGGGGCCGGGAGGCGACGGTGGGGGGGGGGTCACAGGAAGATGTAGGGGAGGGCTGTGGGGGCAGGTGGCCCCCTGGGCCGGAACCAGCACTCAGCGTGGCTTTAGGACCACGTGCTGACAACAACTGTCCATTTCTCCATGACCTTCAGAGGTCACTGACCATGCACCTGCCATGCCTGGGCAGCCATGCTGAGCTGGCTGGCACCGAGGCCCACCTGGGTCGGCTCAGGGGTGGTGACGCAGAACCTGGCAGGCAGGCAGAGGTCTGGCTTCCCTGGCCAGTGCAGCACTGTTCTGGGCCTCACCCACATGTGTCGGGCGGGCTGCCACTCTGCCTGCACGTGGCACTCGCCTGGGCGTGGAATGCCTAGGCATGTGGCGAGGGCCTCTCTTGCTTTCCTAGAAGCCTGTGTGGCCAGTGCCCGCCCTCACCGCCTTCACCAGGGCTGGAAGAACACGACCACCATGGGCACCTCCCTGCAGCCACGCCTGTAGTTCCCACCCCTGCAGCAGTTTCCCTGGCCTTGGGGCACTGCCTACCCAAGCATGTTGGCCCACACCCCGGGCACCACAGTGGTACCCAGGACAGGATGCTGGAGCTGGGTGCCCGCAAACAGCCACGTCTGCTGGCTGTGGCCGGGAGTGGGAGCTGCCCCCAGTCTCCCACTGCCTGCTGGGGTCAGTGTCGCAGGAAGCTACAGGGCTCTGGGCCTGGACTCTGAGTTGCAGGACGTGGGTCCCCCGCACTACTGAGGTGAGCCCCGCCCCAGTGTCCTGTCCCAGGTGCCGCTGGGGTGTCGGGTGTGTGGGACAACACCCCCGTCCCACGTGGGTGTGGGATGACGCTCCAGTGTCCTGGCTTGTTGTATGGTCCGATCCAGGACTGTTCAGTGTCTCAGCAGCAGAGCTGGGTGAGCCTTGGTGCCTGAGCCAGGTCCCTTCGCATGCCTCATCGCAGGCAGCTGTGTGGCCCGCACAGCCATCTCCCCAGTGAGCACTAACGGCAGGCGGGGCTGAGCCAAGGTGCCAAAGCCAAGGGGCTTTTCAAAGCTCATTACTGCACTGTTCCTGTCTCAGCTCTTGCTAGTGGCCACCTGTGGTCCGACCCTGCCCTCGGTCACCTGCTGATGTCCCAGCACAGGGCACAGTGTGGGCAGGTGCCAGGTGCCCTGGCACGCACTGCTGAGCCGCAGGCTGGCATGGCTATTGTTCAGGGGTTTGCTTCCCGCACGCTCAGAGGACGGGAAGGAGCTTGTGCTGCATACTTCAGCCTGGCCCAGCCCGGCCCAGCCCAGCCAGCCGGGCCCTTGCAGCCATTTGGGGAGTGAACCAGTGGACAGAAGCTCTCTGTTACACAGCCTTACAAATAAATTTTTAAAAAAGTGTTTGTTTAAAAAATAAAGTGATTCAGGTGAAGACGCTGCCAGCTCAGGACACATCAGGCTCACATCTGTCAGGCTGGTATCTGGAGCGGACGCCGTGGGTGTGTGCCCCGACCCCATAAAAACTATACGGCTCTCGGCTATGTTCCCAC